GCCCAAAAGTTGGCGGTGGGTGAGGATGACTAGCTGTCTTCCCTCTAGTCTTACACTGCTAAATTAGGGACGGTTAGCGCAGATAGCTCTCGTTTAGCCTTGCGCGAAATTCAAAACAAAACAAAGCTTTCCTTAAGCCGATTTCTGTATATTGTGTATCATTTAGAAATTATCATGGTTTGAGCTTTACATACATTTTAATTAATTTACCTTTAGTAAATAACAAATGCCTAGTTGATACATAATAAATTTGCAGTTTCTTTGCTATGTGAAAGGCCCCCAGTGGCACAGTGGTATGTCTGCGGACTTATACTGCTAAAAACCGGGTTTCGATACCCGTGGTGGGCAGAGCACAGATAGCCCTTTGTGCAGCTTTGTGCTTAATAACAAACAACGACAACTATGTGATACCTAAGACTTTATATGACTATCATCAAGAAACTCTTGTATTATGAAAAACAATAAACTCAGAAAAATCTCACAATTGTTTTTGAAACATACCAAATCTGCTTCACGTGCCTGCTTGTCAGTTGATATCTTGTTGACTTCACTTTCTTTTTCCATTACTTTGTTGTTCAGGTCTTCAGCTTCTTTTTTCAGCTTTGCAAGTTCCTTATTGTTTTCATCAAGTGTTTTTCTCATTTTATCACAATCCTTTCGAAGCTGAAATAAATCATTCTCCATAAACTTAGTAATTTTTTCAGAACTAGCTCGTTTTTGATGTGCCACTTGTTCTTGTTCTTTGGCCTCTTGTAATTCCTTTAAAACTTCATTGTAATTTTCTGACATAACCCAGCAGTTAAAGCTTAGAATCGCTACGCAAAGAAAGAGTGTTACACAAGGAAAAGTTGGCCGACACGATATGTATTGCTTTATGTTCGAAGTCATTGCTATATAATTATTTGGAAGTTTTCAGTTATTTGACGGGATGCAAACCGCAACCCGTATAATTAAATAAGTTAGTATGTTATTAATAAAATAGCTTCAGGATGTAAACTTAAGCAAGATAGATAGGCTAAGTCGACTACTGCCTCTAGTATTTATTTTTAGATATAGTTATATGTCAGATAAAACTGAAAACCACTTGTTTTCTCTGTCGTTTTGGCTCTGAATCTGAGCAAACCTAGTACTAGTAGATGTTACAGGTGCACATTTAGGGTCGTCCCACAATATCGCGAACAGCTGGCACCGTGTGACAATAGTATGGTGAAATGCTATAGATCTATATAAAACTCTTAATGCAGTAGCCATTTTCCAATCATAATTTCCGAACATAAAATATGCCCCTATTTTATGTGGAGAGAAACCATCTGCAAATTTTACAAAAAATTAAACCTGCTGTACAACTGCTTATTTAGGACTGAAGAAAGGATTTCAATACATATCGCTCATTTTATGAAACTAAAGTATAGGGGTGCTATGCGGTGATTTAACGTGGTTGAAAATGATCAAAAATAGACGATACTGAATGTCTGGAGAAGGAATTGAAGATTAGTTGAAGAAATTTTTGAAAAGATATATTATCTAAGAGAAAAGACAGTAAAGTTTAGGAAGCATAACAAAACAAAAAGAAGAAAAATAAAAAGTTTTTGAAATTGGAAAATATGTCGTCATAGGTAAAGAAGATGAAGAGGAAACTTTTGAAAATCTTCTGTATATATATATAAAGCACAAAAATCTGTGCATTTATCTGGTTGTCCCTTATCTAACTAATCCTAGATCGCTGGGCCAATCTCAACCAAACTTTATGGGATGATAATTTAGGGGCATGTTAATGGGGGGTTCACAGCCCCTCTACTCTCAATTATTGCTACTGTTGAGCGTTTATTATCTGTAACGTAAGTTAACGTTAACTACATTCATAGATGGCGCCACATCCTTACACTAAAACAAATAACTATTAAATAAATAAATATATATATGCGTATATAAGGCAGGAAACTCCGTGTGTCAGTCTGTTGGTCCCTTATCTAACTACTCCTAGGCCGCTGGGTCAATCTCAACCAAACTTTGTGTGATGATAAACAAAGAGCATGTTAATAGGGGTTCGCTACTCTCTCCACCCCTATAATTGATGTTATTGAGCATATATTATCTTTGACATAAGTTAACGTTAACTATATTCATAGATGGTGTCATGTTCTATCACCAAATAAAGAGAGAGGTCACACAAACGTCTTACATATTTCAGAAAGTGCGCTAGCACTTTCTATGGAGGAATACAATTAAAAAACGGCCGCTACTATTGCAATAATACATAAACTCAGATGAAGTTTCTACTCCAACAGCCATCATAAAACTAATATGAAGGGTCGTTTCTTGAGTTATACGCACTTCCTACTTTAACCCGTGACTTTTTCAACTTCATCCCGTACGACACTTATGCGACCAAAGGACGTCAATTAATTGATAAGATGAAACACAAGTAGAAAGACATTAAGAGTTGGGTGTTGAAAACGGGTAACAGAAAGCACCCCGACTGCCACTACTTTAGCCGCTACATCTTCCTTCAAAGACACCCTCACCATCGCATTTTAAGTATATACGTAGTGAGTTCTTAAAGCTTATACAAAACTGTTGTCAGTTAATAATGAATACTATAATAATAATAATATGTTATGTTATGAATAAATTGTGTGAAAGTTAGGATTTTGTGTTATTTATCATATCAGTCACTCAATGTTTTTTTTTTTTTCAATTCATAAACCAGACAATGGACGCGTATCTCAGCTTGTCAGACATAAATATTGATTTCTCTGGAACTTTAATGTAAAGAAAAAAACTTGACGTCAAGTGTGATGAAAATTAAATAATCAAATAGCTAGAACAAAAAAAAATACTAGCAAAAGGAGACATACAGTTAAGTTAAAATAAATTTGGGATACAACGTAATGATAGACATAGAGGCGATGAGAATACAAAAATTAAAATAAACAATGTTTGTCCCAGGAAGTAGAGAAAATTATTGAGGATATAAAGTTTAAACTAAAGAAGTATTGCTGGAAAAAAAAACATGTAATTTTGGTTGAAGGTATGAGAGTATGAACAGGAAAAGTATTGTGATGGGAAAAAGAGAGGGAATATTTGATATCCACTAAAGAATCACAAATCAAGAATTGAATATAGAAGGGGAAGTGTAAGAAATTTTGTGAATCATAGGGATTGGTGAAGGTAGAAAATTATTATATGGGTAAAAGAAGAAGGGTAGGAAGGAGAAGAAGAAAATATAGACAATTGGGGAGTGTGCTAGCATCTTCTATATAAGGATGACACGGACGCCCACATTAAAGCAATACAAACGTCATCCATATTTTCTACGCTACAGGTCATCAGAAGCTAGATATGAAGAACTACCTGGCATAGTCACTCTATCTTCAGTGCATATGCTGCTTTTCAGTTATACAGAGCGTCCCAAAGTTGAAAACTAGTGAATAGCCAAAACCGAGATTTCTCATTTTCGTTCACCATCATCTTTCTTCAACAGGCCTAGCACCTACCTAGTTCTAGCAGTGACATCCCAGTGGTACAGCGGTGTGTCTGCGGACTTATACCGCTAGAAACTGGGTTTCGATACCCGTGGTAGGCAGTGCACAGATAGCCCTTTGTATAGCTTTGTGCTTAATAACAAACAACAACAACAAGTTCTAGGACTGATTGTAATTTTATCGTTATTTGATAGAGCAAAACAGTCTTCACGATCTTTGACTACCTATTTTATTATTATTATTCTATGCAAAATTTATAAATCTTTAGAATACACTCTATAACCTAGTAACCCACGTACGCCCTCTTACAAAAATGTAAACAAAGAAGTATAAAAAACTTTATTACTAAATTAAAAAAAAAAACTGTGTAGGACTGGCTACTGAATATGAAAAAAAAGAACCAAACAAGATAGAGATGGAAGTGGACATATCATTTGATCGGCTGTCTCGACTTTACATGAAGAATAAAATCCCTATATTACTGGTTTTCTCACTTTGTTTATCAAAAGATTGATGTTTGAACAAAACCTCAGTTAGCTATCCTTAATTTAGCAGTGATAGACTAAAGGGAAGGCAGCTTCAACACCACCCACCGCCAACTGGTGAAAAAGAAAAGAAATGCTTAGCACATATATAAGTAATATAGTATGGTTTAGCTAGCAAAAGCAAAATAACAGTATACCACCAGATGGCTGGAGGTAATATCAGCAAAGGAACTCTCCGTTACTTCTTGCTAAGCAGCCATGTGGCCCGGCATGGCCAGGTGGTTTGGGCGCACGACTCGTAATCTGAGGGTCGCGGGTTCGAATCCCCGTCACACCAAACATGCCAACCTCCGTCTTTGCCTGGTCCCAAGTCCAGGATGTGAAAGGAGGAGGGTTGGGCGCGGGGCTAGCAACTCCACCCCGTAAAAACCAACCTGCTACAAGTAACTGCAACATCAACTTCCGTTGGGAGGTGTTGTTGCGGCCCTATGCTCCACTGGGAGTTTACAGGAATAAAAAAAAAAGCAGCCATGTAGGATAAGCAACTGTCGACTCAATCCCTGGTATTTCGTCACTTAGCCAACAGCTCAACTCAACTAGCACTCAACTGTTGAGGATAAATAAGGAAATAATATCAGATATGCTTTCCTTTATTTGAGCACTACGCAAAAAAAACCCAACAAATCTCGGTGTTATTTAGCACCTGACACATCAGGTATATAAAAAAAATAGCTGGCAAACAAAAGATTTCTACGTAAATCTTGACACGATAGCAATTAACAGTTTAATAACCAACAGTTATAGGAAAAACAAATATGCATACAAATATTTCCGAAAATCGTACAAAGAGTCGTATTTTAGTATATTATTTGAATCATAACGTCCAGGAAGCAAGTTAAAATACAGAGAGAAACAAAACACACACAAAAAATGCACGTGCACCAAGCTTGTTTTATTCTAATGAAAAATGTTATCACATTGTTATCGTGAACCTTATAGTTAATCATTATAACTTAGTTCAAGTTTTTGGATCCTGTGTAGAAGCCTTTGCACAAGATTTAAAGTTTCAAAACTTTAAATGTTTAAAAGTAAATATTTGTAAATTTTTGTTTTGTAATTAAGCACAAAGCTACATAATGGGCTATCTGTTCTCTGCCCACCACGGGTATCGAAACCCGGATTCTAGCGTTGCAAGTCTGCAGACATACCGCTGTGCCACTGGGGGGCAATATTTGTAAAACTGTATACCTTTTTCGTATTCCAATATTTCAATTGTAATTACTTATCGTCATAACCATAGATTTTTTTATCGTTTTAACTGACCTGTGGCTACTTTGTTTGGGGAGAAGATACATAACCCAAGACCATCCTACAAATATTGTTGGTTTGGTATTCCTGAACATACTCAACAATCTTACAACAAAATGTTTATAGTAATAGCAGTTTTAGAAATTGTTTACTTATCAGATATTGTCACCTGATAAGTAAATCAACGCTGCAGAAGATTACAGACCTCACTCAGTCCGACCACCTGTTAGTACATGGTAATATCTAATCATGTAAGGACGGTGTTTAGTCCTAAACGTCATTTTTAGAATATGAGGAAGGAAATAGACCTCAAAGTTTTGTTCCTAAGCCTTAACTTTAGTGAGTAGTTAAGCACTCTAATAAATTCATAAGATAGACCATATCAGAAATATGTACCATGCTATAAAATAATTAATACAACAAAAACAGTATAACAACTTTAATAAATTACAGTAAATATACTCAATAAGTTAATTCTGTTTCAGGCTTATGCTTAAACGGTAAAGAATATCATCTTTATGTAGCAAAAAGAATTGAGAGGCCAGTTTATTCTGACGTAAGCTGGAGAAGACTTGGATGATAAAATGTTAATAATTCTCCATTTTTACGATAAGCGAAAACCCACTCAAATTTTATCAATAACATTTTCATTGCTTTATATATTTTATTAACTGGTATCATAGATTCAATACAGGCTCTTACATCATAGCAAGCAAAAGATTGCGAACCATTAAATAATATGTTGTATCTCTGAATTAATTCCTATTAATT